AATGTAGGAAATACTATCTGTTTCTCTCTCTGCTCTACACAGTCCCTTCTTCTTTCTTTCCATTTCTCTCCCTCCTTCCTCTACTCTCCTTCTCCCTGCCTCTCCTCTCTCACAACCACAAGGAGGATAAAGGATGCAACTGAATGTATCCTGAATGTCCGACACATTTAGAAGCCTTCACTTATACACCCTTCCAGTCTGATACAGTGAATTATCTTCAACTTACACTTTCTTCATATTATAAAATTTTGTTCAATTTCTCTTTTTATGAAGTTTGGTAGATGTTCTTGATTAAGTGACATCTAAAACAGTCTTAATTATTAAAAACTAGGTATTTTTCCCCATCTACATTAAAAATGAAAGCAGAGGAAATTTATTTCTGCTTGCCATTCCAAAACACAAGCCTCAGCCAAAAATTTGCTCTTATACTTTTCTCAGGGTATGCCTGGCAGTGCTCAGTCCTATGGTCTGTTTTCTTTCTGCCTCATTTGTCTTATTTCTGCTTGCATCTACACACAGAGTTTGCTGTTCTCACAAACAATACTCTGCAAAATCACTGCATTAGCATAGCTCATTTTTCTGCCCAGTCCTGCATAGGTTTGACTTCTGCTTCTGACAGCAGTTCTTTTACCTATTTACTGCATGAAAATTAACACAAAGCAGAATACAGCAGTAAGGTTGCTCTTAACATGTATGAAGCTACATGTGTTTTTTGTCTCATATTGACTTTCTGAGCTCTTTGAGCACCAGAAATGCAATTTCTTCCCGGGAAACCACTATGTAATACTATTACTGCAGGTAAATATAAGCTCTGGTTTGCTTCCATTCTTTTTAGATGGATCAACCCACATGGAGAGTAATGGGCTTTTCATGCAGTTAAGAGTATTAATAAATTCATATAGGCTGAATTATCTGTTAAATATTTATGCTTTTAAAAAAAATTATATTATTTTGCTACCTATTCTCCATTTGGGACCTTTCTGGCCAGCAAAATTCATCTTAATTTTTGTGTAACTACACACTTATGAAAGCATTGGCAAAAAAATTAAACAACTGATGTAGGTCTGTGGCTCATGCTTGTAGTTATGTATTTAGCTAAACAGTGCAATTTTTCATCATTAATATTCATTCAGCTCCTTACAAATACCCTGTATCCATTAGAGATTTGCATGTAGCTGACAGCAGTATAATATCTTCATTTCCTTGTAAAGGTATATACCAAAAGTTGTGAGTAAATAATCCAAATTATAGGGAGTTTTCTCTGTATAAAAATTCTAGCCAATCTTGGTGATCAAAAGATCATGAAGACATGCCCATCCTTTTGGTGATTTAAACAAAGAAACATAAAAAAGTGAAGAAGCAGATTGTTTTAATAACACCTTAATGCTAATGCTGATTTTCACTTATCAGAGCATAAAATATCCAAAGAAACCAGAATTTACTATTATTTTATTAGATTAAAATAAATAAATAAATAAATAGATAAAATTATCTGGGTATTGAGGTTCTAGTTTATATAGCAAATTACCATGCTCCTTGATCCACTGTCAGCTTTCCTTGTGATCTTGGGAAGTAAGCTTCCGTGTGTATCTGTGTATTTTCATATGTGAAATGTGGACAATGCTTCCCTATCTCAAAAATTAGCTTTTTTTAGACATTTGTGAAAGCAGTGTCCAGATTCTGCAAATGGAGACATAGTTAAGTGTTAAGATAAGTGTCTTAAAATATTTTGAAATAAGCAGGTTTATTTTCTTTAAGATCTACTCTGAGTTGCATGATTAGGTGTTATCATGCTTCCTTTAGTTGGTGAAGAAAGAAAAGGATCTCAAAATAGTGATTCATCTTATTTTAGGATAAACCTCTAAGCTAAGACAAAGTACCCTTTCGAAATGTCTCAGGGAAGTATGGGGTTGTTAAGTATAATGAGTACCTACGGAACCAATTGAGACACTGATTTTTAGACATTTAAAGGTGAGATATTCAGATGTTTAACTTCCTGTTCATTAAAGCTACTCTTTCAGAGTTCAGATTTGATGATATTGCAGTACTAATAACCCCTATTCTGGTCTGGGGTTGCCTGGTTCCTACAGTACAGCATACAGGGAATGAGTATTAGAGAAGGGTTTCATTTCAAGTTTTCTTCTTTCTTTGAATTGTGTGTTGAAGTGTGAAGTATGCAAGAGACCCCTGGAAGATCTAAAAGCAGGAGACAGCATTTGGATTTACAGACAAACTGTGCATTGTGAGCCCTGCTATTCCAAAGTTAAAGGTAATGTACAAGACGGCACTGAACATAAGGAAAACAATTCTGAGAACTTCATTCAAACAACTTGAATGTACAACACAGCTGTTGCTTTTCTCATTTCTGCATACTTAAAATTTTTCAAAGCATCTAATTCAGTAAGCTTAGGATGATATCCAACCCGAGAGTCTAGATACGATTATTCTGTATCTGTGAGGGAGATTTCTTAAGGTCTCATTGTAACCCGTAGAGTCCTACCTATGCAGTCAATGAAGACACCTAGAGTGAGACAATAGCCTCTTGCCCTGGAAGTGAGAAGAATAAATTGCAAGGTCATCTGAGAATCAGGTTGCTCTACTGAAATGACTAAGCCAGGGTCCAGAGGTATTTTCACCTAGTGGAACAATTGTGACCACTAGAAAGAAGATACAAAATCTATTAAGTCATAATGAAAATATTATACTGTGATTATCATTCTTACCTTTGTGAGGAGCATAGTGAGTAAACAAATGTACAAGGCAGGGACAAATGAACATTTTATTAATTTTTCTAGAAGCTGCAAATTTTAAATCTTGTGTCTTCACAGCAATTATTATTTCATATAAATCAGTACCTAGTACCTCTGTACCATCTTAAGACAAATGGAAATGGAGAAGAAATGCTCTGATAAGCTGGTTATCAACCACATAATTCCAAGATAAGATCATGTTAACTAAAATTACATTAAAAATTTGTTTGATTAGAATACTTTGTGTTATGCCATTGCAAAATTTGACAGGAAGAATTTTGCAATTAATCAGATTAGAAAATTAATAAGACGTTGTAGTAGTTACAAAACGGTAAAAAGACATACCAGGATTCTGTATATTAAGCATTATAAATTGACATGTCCTTATTAATCAAATTACAAGATAGGACAGTCAGACTTCAGTAGATATTCTAAAAAAGAAAAAAAAAATTAGAGTATACTTCTTTGCTTGGCATTTCTGACCAATATTTTCTCTCTTGCAGAAAAATGGATCTACTAATTCTGACATACAGAACTCATGATAAAGAAGTTCCACTATTGTTTAATTAAGTCTATTGGCCTGTTAATTCAAAGCACTGTGTAAAATTATTCATTTGTATTGCTAGGAAAAAATTTCCTAAATGAAGTCCTACTGCATAGTTATCAAAGGAATTAATTTATTGGGAATTTAGATGCCCTTTCATACATACATTGCAGGAAGCAAAACGAGACATTGTTCAGTATTTTCATCAGATCTGTGAAACTGCTAATGATAATTTATTGAAATTTTCTGAATGTCAGAACATACCTACACACTTATTATGAAGGGGCTGTATTCTCTTTTGTGTAAAACACATCTCCTCCAATATAAAGATCTGTTGGCTTAATATAGCATGAATAGGATTCATCTCATCAAAAATTAGCCATTTGGAGGTCAACTATTTGGTTTAAACTAGTGTTTTCATACAGAGGGAAGGGGGTTCATGCTGTACCTTTGAGGAGAGACATCAATCTCCAGAGGAAGGTTCTTTCCAAGTAACCTAAATGGTAATTTTGAGACAGAACAAATCATCTTTGGAAAATGCATCTCTATTACTGCAGAAGGATTCTAGGCAAATATAGTTAGAGGGTTTTAAGTAGAATTATCCCACTCCATGTTTATAATTCTGTTACTATTGTATTACCATTTTTTAAGAGGTGCACACTTAATAGTTGCCATGAAATAATGAAATACATACTTTGCACGATATTATGTTGTTGTATTTATCTTTCCTACTTTATTAAACTACCTAAACACTTTGGATGGATTCCTCTTGCCTAAGTTTATATACAATGTAGACATCTATTTCTGAGTTACTTGATCTATTCTGTCTCACACAGAGGAGCAGACTTTTTTAGGAAGCAATTCAATCGGTCAGATTGCAAATGTCTATTTTACTGTGGTGTTAACCATGCTTTGAATGTATGTCTTATTTGCCATGGTTTGCAAAGGAATCTGGAATGAACAGTTCAGAATTCTACACATCTACATTAGGTCAGATAAACTGCTTCAAGACTACAGCGAAAGCATTTTTTTTCCTTTTGGACAGTGTATGTGTATAAAGTATAGAAACTGAAAGAGGAATTCATGCTTTGTTATAATATGTTGCCTAAAATATTCAATAGTTGAGTAGTTTACTGGACATACAAGGGGTTGACTACTAGTCTTTGACATGAGACATTTTAGATTATGATTATCCAGAACAGTTTTTTCTTCCTTACGCCTCAGTTTAAAAGGACTTCTTGGATATGGCCATGACAGAGTTAGAGTGTTTGGAGGCTGCTGGACCTGAGCAAGAGCTTAGAAGCGTGTGAAATGTCAAAGCCATAGATAAGCATTAGACTAGTGAATGGCTGTCCCAGTCAAGCTCTCTCACCTTGACTGCACATTTCATAGTGGAGACAGGAGGCGTGGATGGATGCCTGTGTAATTTAAACCATTGGGCCTGCAGCTGAATAACGACGTAATCTGTCTTGTCTGGCTTAAAGGATCTTCAGACTGACATACAAAGGAGCCATGAAACAGTAGATATTTTGTTTTGTTAATTTTATGAAAATTTCTTATGAATTAATGGCAGTAGCTCTAATAAATCTGTAATTATATATATATTTTTTCTGGTGTGTGTCTCTCGCCGATGACATATCCTAGTTAAACTATACTTATTGTTACTCTGTGCTTCGCCAGGAAAAAATGAGACTTGCACAAGAGGGTGAGAAAAGTAGTGGCAGAATTTTAATGTCACACATTTGGTCCTGTTCAGAGACCAGCAGTTATTGCTAAAGCCTGGTTACAATGGAAGATGTTACACGTTCATTTGAGCCAGCACAATTGAATCTAGGACTTCCTAGTGTTTGAGGGGATGAGAGATTTTAGTTCACTCCACTAGAGACCAGGAGCAAGCTCTGGATCAAAATATCTGCTACTTAAATGCTTACTCACAGAGAAGTAGCAATAAGAAACAATAAATAATAATTCTGTTCTCATTTAGTCATCCGTGCTGAACAGCCCTGGCAATTTTGCCATGTGTTTTTTTTTTTTTTTTTTTTTTTTTATTTTTTATTATATGTTGTATAAGTTTCCTGAAAAGAAACACCAGGTTTGTGATTTACCATATAAAAGCTGGCATAGCATTACTCATTAAGAAAAATCATATTAACATCTCAATATCAATGTATCAAAACTTAAATGTTTTTTGTCCTTTTTGCATATCATTAGCATGTGGTGTTTCATTTCCCTTTGACTAGTGCTTCCATGAAACAATCCATGAACAGTTTGCTGGCAGCTGTTTTAATGAACGTGTTATCTTCAATAATGCCTCAGATTAGACTGAAAAGCTGTATTGAGAGATGATGTACTAAATTATGTGGAGTTTTGTGATTCATCAGGCTCATTTTTTCAGTGTGTAATGGATACATTATTTTACAAAGTTGGGGGCATAGCTCTACAGTGGGGGAATCACACAATAAGAGGAAAGGAATGAAATAATGCATATAATGCATATTGATGCATTTAAGTGTGTAGACCGTTTCGAAGCTACTGATATTTACAGGAACAAGGAATGTCATAAGAACAGTTTTGCTGTGTTGATATATTCTGTTGTATCCTGTGTAGGTTCTTACAGAACGCTCAGCCTGTGCATCTCTACGTAGCAGTGCTCGACACAGGGTGACAAATGTCTGTAACATTGTCCTCTCATCCTCCTCCTCTTGAAATAAAAATTCCTGTGAGTTTGACAAAACATGCTTTCCATTACTTCATAGAGCCTCCTTAGCTAGGCTTGTAAAAACTAGACAACATCAAAGGGGCCTTGCATTTATTCAGTGGGTCACCTCTATTCCTTTCTCTTTCGTATAGGGATGAATGTAGTGTTGGGATAGCTTAATGTGTTCAGTTTATTTACTCGGAACATACCAGGTCAGAACTCTGCTACTCTGCTTGCCTTCCTTGATAGTTTAACATAATCCCATTGTTTGTACAAATCCTGTTGTTTACAGTGAAAAGTATCTGCTTTCTTCCTTGGTTTTGCTTTCTATTCATACTTGCATATTGTTCATTGTAACTACTCTGTTACACCAGGACGTGGTTTTAGCTTCCAGTCTAGTTGATGTCAGACTACCAGGGAGAAATGTAGCATCCTTTTCTTCCTTCTGCTGCACCAAAACACCTCATTTTTCTTCACAGCAGTGTAACAGCAGAAATATCCTTCATTCGATAAAGAGATTTAATACTTAGGTTGGTTTCATGTGCCAAAGTCTGAAATTGTTGACCAAACAGCTTCGTTTAGCTGCTAAATAGAAAAAGAACTGAGTTGAACTGATGACTTCAAAGGCCTCCTCCCCTGTTTTCTGCTTTGCCTGGTCTGGCATCAGTAAAACTAGGAATTACAAACATTTCTTGCATTTCAGGGAGAAGAACCTGTAGATATTTTCAAAATGTGTTTGGCACACTGCTAAAATCAGACCTCCTCAAAAATCTTGGTAACTACCAGCTTTTAAAACCATGGAGATGGTGTTCTCCATCTGAACAGATGAACTTGGCCCAGAAAGCGGGAGTGCCAAGTTCAATTTCTCCCTCAATGTACCTAACCAAAGTGCATAACACAGTGGAATAGGCCCTTGAGAGGAATAAACAAGATGCTTCCATAATGTTTTTGCACCCTCACCTGTGCAGGGTGGATCCTTATGGCCCATGTTCCACAGGATAGCCACAATGCCTGCACATTCACTATATGCCTCTTAATACCTCATGCATGACTGCTGAATAGAAAACATATAGTCCTGGGAGCAAAGACCAAATCCTGGAATCTCACCATCTCATCCTAGTGGTCTAACTAATAATTAAAAGCAGTGTGAATAAATTTCTGTTTATTTCTGTTAATGCCATGTCCCTTTCTAGCAACATTAGAGGAGCTGTCAATCAGATTTGGCTGGAGTAGGATGGTGAGGGAGTGGAATTCTGGGAGGTTTAATACAAGAGTACTAGAAGTGTTTTCATATGATGAGCTCTTTTAAGCCTTAGTATCTTCGTCTTTCCAGTCTCTGAGCTCTTTTGGACAGCAACTATCTTCTGCTTGAGCAGTGCCCAGCACAGCAGTGGCCTCTGGGTGGTACTGCTGCACCTGTGTAAGTGACCCAAGAAAAATTTAGATTTCACCTCCCTTTCCAAGCAAGCTGTTTAAAAATGTACTACCTTTTGTGGGATTTTTATAACTGTGTCAGTTATAAACTGACAACTACAGTCTCGTAGCCTGTGCCAAGACTTAAAAATGACTGGTTTTGTCCTGTTAAAATCAATATCTGAATGTAATCATGCCAAAAGCACTTGTCTGAGTCTTGGCATTGCTGTGCAATCATCAGACATCTGTTTAGGGAACTTAGACAGCTATTGCAGTCAAAATAATAGGCAGCCAACATTTTCAAACTACCTACTCAGGAAAAAAAAAAGACATCATAATTTCTGGAATGAAAAGGCAAACTTTTTCTAGCATTAAAGATATTTTTCCACATGTTCAAATACTAAAAGAAGCAGAAAAGTGAGAAAACATTCAGAAAAAGGTGAAAGTATTATGAAAATAAGCCAAATAAGGAATTTTAAAAGTACTAGTGTTGCTGTAAATAATGGTGCCATTGAAATTAATAGTCAAACTTGGCTGTAAGACGAATATTCCAGAAAACATTGGTCTGTCTTCATATTTTCTGGTTCCTTGAGGGAATTTTTACCCATGGAACTTTGAATTATATTATCTCTGTATGTAATTCAAATCTTGGAATTAAGAATGAGAATCCAGTTAACTGTATTTGTAGCATTCTAATTTCAAAGAGACAAATATTTAAACAATATTTGGGAAGTATATGACTGATAATGTATTTGAACACTGTTTTTATCTGTTTTTAAAACTGAACATTGATTTTATCCATTTACCAAAGTAACATGCATAAAAGTAACAGTAAAGCCTTTTGTAGCAAAACAGCAGTTTTCTCATAGCAAAACTCTCTACGGGAACAAGCACACCAATTTTTACATGAATGACATCGGTGGAAAGCTGAAGAAGGAAAGCTGGGAACGAGCAGTATTTTTTCTGCCTCTTTCACTCTAGCGAGAGACATCCCGGATACCCAGTCAGAGGAGGGCACATGCTTTGAGAATTCTGATTTCTAGGTTTTAATGCAGAGATCACCAGGACTGTTTAAAAAGGAGGGGAGGGAAGAGGAGAGGAGGAGAAGTGAGGCAAGGGAAGGGGACGGTCTAAAGCATTTGAAACTCAGAGTGATTTGATACAGAACTGATTAGTTAAAATAACAATCAATTGAATTAGAGCTGTCATGTATAATTCTGTCTGGATGGATTTACAAACTAGCAGACCCTAAACTTAATGCACAGACAGTACCTTTTGATACCACAAACGCTGATTTTCTGGAGCAATTGGGGCTCACCATAATGATGCAATTTTGGATTTGATTCTATAGTAAATCCATTCTAATAGTGACTACAATGTACTTCAATTTAATATTAATTAAATAAGGAAAAAGCCATAAGGAATCATGGTAGTTCAGAAAAGGAAACAGTATAAAAAAGAGAAAGTCAATTACCATGAAATTAGCAACAGCTAGGAAGTCAAAATGTTTGCAAGAGACATTGAGTATGAAAAATCCATGCTGTAACTCCAAGAAAATGTTTAATTGCTCAAATACTTCAAAGGAAATGTATAAATTTAACAATAACAAATTGCTAGGTCTAGGTAGTATCTATGCAAAAACTCTATGAAGCCCAAATGGGACATCGTTGAACTTCTCACAACCATTTACCCTACCATTCAAAGCAGGCTTGGTGCCCAACAAATTGGAAGCATCAGCTGGGACATCAGACTTGAAAAATACATGAAAACTGGTCTGGTGAACTACATTTCAGTTATTCCAATTTTTTATCAAGCCAATTTTCTACAAATTATAATAAATAACAGCATACAGAGGCATCTGGATATGTATGATATATTGGAGGAGTGTCCACACTGATTTTTTAAATCAAGCATGCTCATGAATGTATGAGTGTTTCTGAAAAAGCCAATATGCTTTCTGTTAAGCCAATTTCTTTAACTGGGTACACCTGGATTTACAAGAATTTTTTCACAGTCTTTCCCTAAACTATCATGACATAAGAAAACATGAAGTAAGAATAGAAAGAAAACAATGGGTTAGAAAATTCAGTTTTCATTATGGAGACAGGAAACAATGGGAGGTTCAGCCTGACTTCTGTGGGGGCAAGGCTGTATAAATTAGGGCTTGTCAGCTGGGAAGAAAAGTAACTGAGTTTTATATAGTCATGAATGACAAAGAGAAGCTGAATAGGGAATGATTAATCATTCTGTCTTTCTCAGAAAGCCAGAATAAGGGGCACCCAATTAAATTACTAGGCAGCAGATTTTAAATAGATAACAAGAAGCAGTTTTTATAACATTATTAAATTGCAGCTTTAATTGCCACAGGGTGTTGTAGAGCCCTAATTTTTAAATGGTTTAAAAATGGGACTCAGCAAATGGAATGTTATTACACATCAGTGGCTATCGAAAATAAATGATCCAGATGTCCTGATTTGACAGCTTCTGAAAGATGAAGAAAATACCTCAATATTCTTCTTGTTTCTGAGATGTTTTCTTTACAAAGCTACTATCAGCCTTTGCTAGAAGCAGAATACTCGATTAGATGACTTTTGCTGGCATGGTAGTGGCTCTCTTTTTATAAAACTACTTTCACAGTGATTTTTCAGACTGAAACTGCACTTTAAAATAATCTCACCAGACTTGGAGTTTACTGTCCATCCTCTCACCTTATTGTTACACATCCTTTGTATAACCCAGACTGGATTACTGCAATTAATTCTTTACTGGCTTGCCTGAAAGGCAGGTCCAGCCTGCAGCTACTGCAGTATAAAGCAACAGGCTTATTATCAGAAAAGAGCAGATGGGATTTGTGGACTTCCTGCTTCTTTGTTCTCTGCATTGGCAGCCTATTAGTAACTATACTGATTCAGAAATTCTTACTATAGGACACTGTGTAAGTAGCATCCTGTAGAAGATTTAAGGCATATAATTTCTCTGGTCCAGGAATAACAGATTTCATGGGCACATCATCATGTTTGGGTTTGGTGTTAGACAGATTTTATCAAAGCCTTAAAAAAATGAATGGAACCATCAAGTCTTCAATGTGCTTTGTAAAGTGCTGATGAAGTTCTGGGTTGATCAAACTCATCAGCTACTGCTGGGATACTGAATGGAGCTCATTGACAATATATTAGTAATGCAAATATTGGGAGAAGAATAATTTGTGTTTGAAAACCCCCAAAATTAGGTTAAATATTTTAATGACTAAGGTGTTCAAATCATCTTTGCAGAAGACAAGCAGACCAGCATGAACACCATGAGACAGTGTGTTGTTCATCAACATACATTTCACCTGCCAACATCTCTTTGTGAAGCTACAGTATTAGTGGAATTATATGTTAGTGTACTTAAAATAGAGCAACAAATACAACACGGTTAAATGCATTTCTATCCTTTACTAGATCCACCTGTCCAGGTAATGCCTGGAAAAAAGGGGGTTTCTCACACTGGCCGTGAGCACGGTAGTTGAAGCACACACAAGTTTAAGCTGCTTTCTACCCATACTGCTGGATGGAAACCAGGCTTACAGCAGTCCAGTAAAGAAAGAGCCAATCAATCTTCTGTCCCATTTTCTTGGGGACCAGATGTAATAACACTGTTCCTGCCTATGCTCAATTCATCTGAACTGCCTGGAACAGCTTTTGTACCCATGCTAAGACACTATGCTCAGTCCTAAGCTTTCTCTCTTTGGGAACTCAGTTCTGAAACAAGTGTCTGCATGGAGCATTTGCACAGGTGGCACAAACAGTAGATGGCATTTGAAAATTTGCAACTACTTGTACTCACAACTGAGGTAAACCATTTCCATGGTGACTCTTCAGATCCTATGTCATGATGTCACATGCTCTAGTGTGTCTTCAAATGTGTCTCCTGGTGCATCTCCAAACTGATGTCTACCTCAAGATTTTTTAAATTATGCAATATCCAGACCATACTGTCATATTCCTGTACTGACAACGGAAAACATTAGATATCCATTTCCCATTTTTTTTGCTGGTTCACTAAATGACCTGCTTAGTTCAAAGAAAAAAAGTGATTCCTCCATTCTGAATGTCTTTTGAGTATTCCACAGAATCATCAAAGTTGGAAGAGACCTTCAAGATCATCTAGTCTAACCATTAGCCCAGTACCACCACAATCACTCCTAAACCATAAACCCAAGTGACACATCTTCAAGACGTCTCTTGAACACAACCAGAGATGGTGACTCCACCTCCCTGGGCAACTTACTGCAGTGATTAACCACTCTTTCAGTGCAAATTTATTTTATAATATCTAACTGAACCTTCTCACCTCATTGCATCATCCAGCACTACTCTTATTGTAAACTTCTTCTTGGCTTTTTTTTCGTTGTATGTTACTGATGTCAATAAACTCCATATTACATATGCTCCTAATTCATCTTTTAAATCACTTTGCAATCTTACTGGATGAACAATGCACTTCTAAGAATTAAGGCTAGTACCATTAATAGTGATAACAACCTTAGCCCATTTTGTCTAGAGCTAAACATATAGAAACTCAACTCTTTTACCTCTGGAAATAAATATTACAGCTACCTGTAGCAGTGAAAACTGGATTTTATTACTCACTCTAATGACACACGGTAGAATTAGAGCCAGATGATTTTTACTCTCAACATTTTTCCATTTCTTCTTCCAAAGGGACAGAGGAGATACCAACAAAAGTTTTAGATTAAGTGCTATCTGGTGGCAAAGTAGTACAGTGGGAGCTGTACTTATGAAAGTTACATCATCTGGAAGTCAACGCTTTGTGCTGTGCTCTATCTTCCTTTCCAGTCCTTCTTATAAGACTGGAGGTATTACTTGCACTGCAAGAGTGCTTGAAAGACTAACAAACAACAGTGCTGTTGCCCTGTGCATATGCAGAAGAAAGTTTCCAGATTATAAACAAAAGAGAGAGAAGTGTGACAGGCTGGATGATTTCAAAGTTGACTTATGCCCTGAACAGAAAAATAATGTCTGTTTCTATTTGCACAAGAAATCTGAGCCAGCAAAAAAGCATGGGGAGGGCAACAGTGGCTGATAAGGCTACTGCTCTGCATACAGCTGATACTCAAGAACTGAGTAGTGACTAATAGCTATTATTAGTGGGTAGGCAAGCAACTTACGTACTTAGAATCACAGAATCATTTAGAAAAGACCTCTAAGATCATCAAATCTGTTAACCTAGCACTGCCAAGTCCCCACTAAACCGTGTCCCTAAGTGCCACATCTACACATCTTTTCAATACTTCCAGGATGGTGACTCAACCACTTCCGTGGGCAGCCTCTTCCAGTGCTTGACAACCCTTTTGGTGAAGACATATTTCATGATATCTAATCTAAATCTCCCCTGGCTTCCTTGAGATTTGTTCCCAATTTTGTATCAGTGCTTTAGGAAACTTCAAGATGGTTATTTAGGTTATGTCTCCTCTTCATATGGCTAGAGGAAATGAACTCAATGAGGGTTGTGTGATGGCTGAGCAGTCTTGGGCAACACTGAATCTCGGCTCACCTCCTAGGTGGAAGAAAGGGACACAAGCAATGGTTTCTTACAATGCTGGACAATGAAGGACAATGTAAAAACACTACCGTGAGTGAATGTTACTCACCTCTTTTGCAAAGATTTGCATGTTACAAGTCCACCTACGAATCTGGACTGTGTTAAAGGAAGACATTTCAATACAAAGACATCTTCCCCCTCAGGTGTTCTCCTGTACATCAACAATTACATAGTTAATGCAGTTTTCTGCAATGCTTGGTTCCGTGTTCTTGCTTCACCAGCAATGCAGTTTCAAAAATACGTCGCCTTCCTCGCTATGAACCAAAACTCCCAGAGTCAGCACGTTTCAAACACACGGGTTTTGGCTGAATTAGCTCCTTTCAAGCCCAACAAAGCCTCTACTTGTGATTCCCATTCCCCTCACACTCGATCTGCGTAATTACCACCCTGACACCACCAGGCTCTAATTACACGGCTCACGAGAGGCGCAGCGCTTGGGGCCGGCTCCAGCCCGCGGGCGGGGCGGGGTGCGGGGCGCTGGGGGGAAGGCATTTTTGTTTAAAGACCTGGGGCTCCCCGTGGAGGTGGGTCTTGTCGGCTTTTCCACGGCTGGATGGCGGGGGCGCCGGGTGGCTCTTTGTTCCTGCCGAGTGCGTGTGCGCGGCGCTCCGGCTGCCGGAGTGGGAGGGGATCCCGCCCGCGCCCTCGCTGCCGTTAACGGGAGGCGCAGGAGCGGCGGCGGAGCGGGGGCGGGCGGGCAGCGCAGCACCGCAGGGCCGGGCCGGGCCCCCAGCGCTGCGAGCGGCGCTCCCCGGCGCTCCCGCCTCCCCCGGGGGCCGGGCGCTGCCCTCCGGCGGCGCGGCGGAGCAGGTGCCGGCGGCCGCGGCGGCAGCGGGCTGGCAGGATGGAGGCTGCCTTGCTGAAGCCGGCGATGATGGCGGAGGTGAAAGGGAGCGGCGCCGGCCCCGGCGTGAGCGCCGAGCTGGAGGTGAAGAAGCTGCAGGAGCTGGTGCGGAAGCTGGAGAAGCAGAACGAGCAGCTCCGGAGCCGCGCCGCCGCCGCCGCCGTGACCAGCGGCCCGCCCAGCCCGCACCTGCTGCTGGCCCCGCCGCCGGCCCCCGGAGGGCTGCGCCCCGCCAGCCCCCCCGCCCCGGCCGCGCCGTGCATGCCCAGCCCGGTGCCCACCATGCTGTGCCCGCCGGAGCCCCTCGCCTACTTCAAGCCCTCGCCCGGCCTGCCGGCGGCCGGCGGCGGGCTGGAAGGCGGCGGCGGTCCGGGGGCGGCGGCCACGGTGCTGGACGAGGTGGCGGTGCTGGAGCTGGAGGACGGCTGCGGAGAGGACGAGGATACCTGGTATATGCGGCTCGGCCCTGCCCCGCCCCGGCCTGGCTGTGCCCTCCGGACCCGTGTGTCGGTCGCCCCCCGGCCTGGCCTCCCGCGGCGGTCTCCCGGCACTGCTTAGCATTAGCCCCCAAATCCACTTGATCTCCCTGCTTAGACTGAAATCAGCTCTTTTTTTTTTTTTTTTCTTTCTTTTTTCCTCTTCCTTCCTTCTAAACCGTGCCATCGGTGCGGTCGGCCTTGCCGAGGGAAGGGGCCGGTGTACGGAACGCGGCACAGGTCGAGTCTTGAACCCCCGGCTCGGGGAACAGTGCTCGTTTTCCACTCTGAGGTAGATGGTTCAGATCTCAGCCTAGTTTCAGCCTCCTGTTTACATAAGGAATTAAAAATAGCCGAATTTTGTTCCGGGAAAGCCTTGATCTGAGCAGCGCTGCCTCCTCATCCTAAAATCTCTGCCCAGTTGTCTCCCATCTTCAGGGATTTGGGAGGGCTTTTGTCTTTTAGACATTGATCTAAATTGTTGTGTATCTTAACGCGCCCACGAAGCTCCAAAAGGCACGGCAGGGTGCTAGTAAATTAAATAAATCGGAAACGACCAGCGAATGAATAAAGCAGAAAATAAAATCAACCTGGAGGAATGGTTACGCTCACTTAAAAACAAATAGAAGGGGAAATTACAAGGTACAGATAAATAAATAAGTAAGGCAGGTGCCTCAAAACCTGTTTCAGCAACGTGGACGAACATCGTAGGGACAGTGCTGGCATACTATCTTAGCCGTGTAACCATGTTAAATGTAGTTGATCCTAAATAATTTTGAAGTGTCAATAAGAATATGTAAATTATCTATATTTAAATAACTAATTTTAAGTATCTGTCAAAGCTTCAATGAAATATTTTTAATGAGACTAGTTTTTGAGTTGAGACAAAGTTTATGTCAACTGAGTATAAAGCATCTGAAATGTGCTTATTTTCGGTAAAAGAGAAAGGGTTCAAAAATTAATTCAAATGCCATAAATGCTTCTGAGTGCTGGTTGTGTTTGTCTTTGTGGTACACAATACCATAGTTCTGAAAATTGCTTTTGAGAATCATCTACAAATGGCATGGAGATTTTTGGCAGTGTTGCTTCGTTGTGGGTACGATTAGTCTGTGCGGGGCTGGTTTGGGCTTGTCAGTCCAGACTTAAATCAAATTTTCCATTGGTTCTAACTGCTAGGTTTCTTAGCATTAAGGAATAGCAAATTTGATTGATCATGTCCTGTTAAACAAAATGTTTTCCGTGTTTACATTTAAGAATGGTAGAAAGTCATTGTTGCATTGTGCCTTAGTAAAATTTCCAATTCGATTTGCTCTCTGGGAGCAATCCTAAATGCTTTTTGGGCATGAGACCTTACCTTTGTCAAACACATATGTCCACCGGCAGAATTTCATCTTAGGGATTTGTTAACAAGTTTATTCCGCTAAGAGTGAGTTGTTTTAGCTGTTAACGGCTGTCTGGAAAGCTAAAGCCCACTGCATATTGTTGTTGTTGATTGGTAGTTTTAGGCCTTAAATACCTTTGGTGGTTTTTGGTTTAGGTTTTTTTGTGTGTCTGTGTGTGTTTTGGGTTTTTTTTATCTGCAGTTATAAAAAACCCATAAAAACATAAAACAACTGACCCTGTGGAACTGCAGAGATATCAAACCACTTTTTGGCATTGAGCTTTTTACAGGAAGGTCTGATGATCAGTTAGATGTTTAGCTTTTGAAGCAGTTCTGCAGGTTAACAATAAAGCTCAAAGCTTTTCTTTACTTTTTGGTTTTTTTCAGTATCATTTTTTAAATGTGTGGCCAGGCAGTGCAGGAAGTCTGGGGAAATGAGTCCTCTCCTCAGAGAAATTCAATAGTTGATGTCTGCTGGGATTGCCAAGAGAGCAGTCGCAGTGAGGATATTTATTCTTTGTAAGCTCGATAGACAGTGCTGATTGACTTCAAAGGCAAAAAACCCCCATGGAGCAGACACTGGAGAGTGCTTGCTCTGGTGGGACTTAGGTAGCTCTTGAGCCAAAACTGTGAAGGTGAAAGGCTGCTGCTACCTGCTAGTATCCCTTGAGGAACAAAATCCTGTTTATTTTTTGGTCTTGTCATTGCCCCTGCTGTGTGCAGGCCAGATTCCTTTGCTGTCTACAGAGTGTTCTGGTGTCTGAGTATCTGCTGAGCCCCATGTATTGGAGGTGGTCAGGCCAGGGAGCTGCAAGATTTAGATATTAGGAAGAAATTCTTTACTGTGAGGTGGTGGAACAGGTTACCCAATGAAGTTGTGGATGCCCCATCCCTGGAAGTGTTCAAGGCTAGATTGGATAGGGCTCTGAGCAATCTGGTCTAGTGGTAGGTGTTCCTGCCCATGGCAGGAGAGTTGGATCTAGATGATTTTTAAGGTCCCTTCAAGCCATTCTGTTGTCTCCAGCAGCCAAGAATAATTTGCTTCCCAGGAGATTTGCGCTCTCCCAGGTGACTCAAGTCTGCTGTGCTTGCTAATCTGCCAGGGTTGACAGCAGCAACCCAGATCTCAGCCTCAAGAATTCCCCCATGAAATTTGCTTTGGTACCTGGCTTCCTAATGTACCTGGCCATCTGATTAATTGTCTGCTCCTGTCTGAGAATAAGGCACATACACTAGATTTTCTTGCATATATTTTTTTTCCTGCTGGAGTTGAATATCGAAAATGGATTTTCATTGTTTCTCACCTAATGTTTTGTAATCTTTACAAATATGACTGATACAACATTTGATTCATTTGGGAGAAGATATGGTGTATGAAAATAATATATATGTAATTTTTTATATATAATATAGAAAATAAGGTGATTATATTATTATATATAATAAGGTGATTAAATTGTGATAGGTAAAGGTGTGAAATAGTTAGCAGTGAGATTGTGATTTAAATATAAAATCAAATATTGAAATTGTCTTATCTCCAATAAAGATAAGTATAAAAGGGACAAGTGAGAGCACCTTTTTTTTTGTATGTGTATAGCACCTAATACATTTGAACTTTGGGCAGTGCTGGAATGAAGACAGTGGTAGTGATGAGATGGAAGATTTTGATGTGAAATCTCATTCTTTGTTTTGTCGTGCCAGAGCTGTAAAGTTTGTATTTTGCCACCTAGTTTTTTGAGGAGGGAAGGAAGAAAACTGATGTAACTCTTCTACCCCAGAAAGTCTTTTTTAATTAGATATCTTCTTGCGAGGCTTCGTATGTTATACATTATTAGTAGCTAATAGATAAGAACTTAAAAAAGCAACTTTTAAGTGTTGCATATCTTGCTGATATTTTTGTGTATTTTGGTTAAGGTTGTACGTCTTGCCTACCAAGACTCACACTTCTCAAGACAAATCATTGAATCCTCTGCAGTGGTGCAGGCGTGTTCTGGATCATCCAACTCCTGAGACAGAGGCTGCAAAACGTTCCCTATGCTTTAGGTTGGAGCAAGGTAATTTTATTCTTAGAATTTTTTTGATAGTTGTCTTTGGTGTTTTTCACAATTTAGCAAGCTTTACAAATGGCAGACATGCAGTTTTTTCGTACATATACCTAAATGCTAACAAATGTTTGAAATTTTTTTTCTGATCATGCAGTTTTGAAGGTGTTTACCTCCTTTGTTATCAATTTTTTCTCCTGCACAACTTGTTTAAACTTGGCATCCATTGCTTAAAATAGTAGACTAAGAAGAACCTTAACTTGACTGATAGTACTGCTCTGTTGGGCTCTGGGTTATCTCAAGTACTGGATCCAGTCTGATGGCTGTTCACTGCCAGTGACCTTGTAGAGTTATATCTGGGTGTGCTGAATTTTGTTTTAAATAAATATCAGACAGCATGATTCTTACTTTTTTTGCCATTTAAGGTCTCATTAAGATTGTACTAAGCATTGTTGAAAAAAGTGATTAAGGGAGGATATTGTCTTAAGGTTTATAACTCACTAGGAAAGAAGATGAAAATGAACAATACAGGAAGCAACAGGAGACGGAAATAAAGCTAATGACAACGTGAACATATGGCTGTATAAGTTAACTACAGCAATTACTAAGAAAGACTGAACATGTTCCTGTGTGCTACCCATATGGGTAGCTGTGGCTGAGTCTTATCCAAATCAGTCATTTATCTGACTAAGACTCTGAAGGCATCTATCTCTTTGTATTGCCTTTAAAAGATACTACAATGATTATTGCCCTAGCAATATTTTGGTGAGCTCATTTGCCTTAAGTTACATGGGTCAAGCTGTGGTTCGTATGTTTGTAATCATCCCACCTAGCTTTAGGGTTGAAGGATGTCCATGCTTGACCACCAGTGGGAGTTTTGTCTGTAAAGTCAGAGGAATCAGGTGAGCTGCTCCAGTGACGAGCTCTAGGTATTTGCCGTAGAATGAATTCAGTAGCTCTCTTTTAAGTCCACTGACAACAGTGGGTGCTTGGCATTCACCTCATCTGGTCACCTAAAGGTATTGTTTGTGTGGTGTTTAGCGTCCAGCAGTGGAGCTGAATCTGATGTGGAAGCTCCACATAGATTGCTGCACGTAGGTACCTAGTGCCATTTGAGATGGTCTCCTTTAGGCTGATATCTAGTCAGGATACAGACCTTCCATAGGTCTTGCACCTCACCTACCATCTTTTAATCATATCTTGGCCTCCCCAAGGGGCCTCTCAGGTGGGCAAGCACATCTGAGTATGGACAACTGAATCAAGGCTATAATGGGAATGTAGAAACAAGTCAGAGGACAGCGTGACCTATTTTTTCCCTTATAAGGATTTATCTAAATTTAATAGACAATAAAGATGTCAGATTTGAATCTCTCTGTGGTTATCAGTTCAGTTGCTGTCTGTGCAGAAGTCACAGGAAGTGACATATGTCACAGAGTTATGTTGACAATGTGTTGCTCTGATCCACATGTTCTACTCGTGGTGATTTGCTCATGAATTTCCTGAGGTCCATACAAAGTTTCTGAGAAATTATATGCCATAAATAAAACTCGTTATGGGAACGGTACGTTCAGGGGTAAACTAGACTTGTGTTTGTACTGCAGCAATTCTTTGCTAAAATTGCTTTAATTAATAATTCAGTTAGTCTCTTGATTAACTCTCGTATTTCTTAATGTTTTCTTTAGCACCTGTGCTTTACAAGTAATACGTAATAAAAAAATGTCATCCTTATTCTAACTTTGTAGAAGTTGGTTTCACAATATTTATTTCTGTCTCAGTTTTGCACCAGGTGTGAGATTTCTGTGAGAATCTAATGATTTGGTTTTTAAAGTACAAAAAACTTTCTGTAACCTGACTTTTCAGTGTTTTGTTTTGCAATGCACTCAATCAGTAATATGTGCGTATAAATAGGTACATGTAATTTATCCAAATTTTAAAAGTGACTCAGTAAGAATGGCATTCTTCTTTCCTGGTATTGAAGTTTCAAACTTTGTACTTGTAAGTTGAATGTTGTTTTCCCCTTTTAGCCATATGCTTTGTAAGGGCATTTTGGAGATGTTTTGAAAATGTAATTGTGCCTCTTCTGCTCAGCCTTGAGTCACTGATTAACAGTGATGGACTTGAGAGCTACTAAATGCGTAGTCAAAAAACATTTATGATGTACCAGTGTGTGATTTCTGGAATGGCTTATAGGTGGAATTTGCTTAGTGATTTTGTCCATGGTGCATTAGCCAAGTTAAACTAGTTGAATTGTCATCGCTCTTTAGGCACTGTAGCGCGCATAGAAATTAAAAGCAGTAAAATTGATTTTTGTTAGCAAAGTCAGCATATCTGAGTAAGTGCGCACAGAGAGAAGAGCTGTGAGCCAAAAGTAATAAAAATTTTGCTAACCTACTTTTGACTTTTAACTAATTTCTGTTCTCGAGATTATTAATTCTGCCCTCATTTATTCATGCTTATGTAGATTTTTAAAATTACATTGTATCCAGATTTTCCTAAAAGTTTTCATTTGTTTTCTGAAATATCCCAGCATTGGGATAGCTCATAACAAGGCTAAAAGTCTTGTGAGAGACTTTCTGCCAAAGCAGTCCAAGGCAATGAAATAATCCAACGACTACTTGATCTCTCAGGGTGGAGAATCACTTGAATGATGGTGTTTTCTTTTCGCTTCGCTGTGCTCACCAGCCTGTTTCTTTTCTAATGAAAATGACTGGTTTAAGTATTTCATAGTGGAAGTTAAGAATTCATCTTGGCATAAATCCTTAAGGTTTATTGTGAGCGCAGTGGTGGTCTCTAGCAGGTGGTTCTTCTGTGAACCACTGTGAGAACTTGGACAAGCTTCTCAACGTTCCTCTGGTCAACGACTAAGTAGGTAAAGCTTTTATCATGTTTATAAGGAACTAGGCTTATTACAAGCCCTGTTTCTGTGGATTAAGCATGCTAGCTTTAAGGAGGATGAAAGTTAAATGTAACCTTTTATGATAAGATCTTTGCTTGGAATTGTTCCTGTTTCCCATGAGCAATTATAGTATTGAGGTACTATTTCTTTGTTGTTTGTTTTGGTTGTTCTTTCTCTGCCACCGTACCTGGATCACTTCTTTCTTCCTGCTCTTCTTCAGTTATCTTTTGTTTGAAACCTTTCTGATTTGTTATCCTTACAGCAGATCTCTGTTGCAGGGTTAGAGTTTCCTCTCCATTTGATTTTTAATCTTGCTGTTTGTTTTATTTCGGTAGGTCAACTGAAATGAACAGGGCCACCTAACAGTCTTAATGGCATCATAGAGCTGCTTCTGTATTTTCTTGATAGTACTTGAAGATGTTGGAACATGTCAGTATTAAGCCCAGTGAGCAGAGACATGTTATTTGTAACCTTCCTAGCTAGTGCAGATGGTTATAACCCCTCTGAAATTGATAAGTTGGTGATTGACACCCTGGTTGAAGATAACTTCACCTCTGTGAAAAACTCTGAAGCAGGCAGGTGGATAAACTGAGGAGTTAAGAGGCTTAGCAAGGAGTCAGTCTGTAGGAGCTCAGCTTTTATGCAGGGCTTCAAAGCATATCTCATCCAGTTTAGCCTCCCAGACAGAAAGCTCTTCTTTCTTGTAGAATATGAAATATTGGCTAGATTCAGAGTTTGGCTTAGATGAGTTCTTATTCAGAAATGCTGCTTCAGATGTTTAAGAAGAAGAAGGAACAGAAGTCTGTAGGTTTTGCAGTTGGCTGTAGTAGTTTAAAGAGTAAAACTCTGTTTTGCTTCTTAAATTATTAATGTGTTTCAGGATGAATGCTCTTACGTTGTCTGTGGATGATGTTGTGAAACAGATCCATTGTAGTTTCTCTCCAATTGCTTGTGATTCCACAAGCACCAAGAATCTCGTCAGTGAAGTTTTATCCTTTATTGTGCAGGATCCCAATGTTACATGTTAGTTAAGGTTTATGTCCAAATATATAACATACTGAGAAGAAAAACTTATTTTGACATTACCTATAAAAATAAAGGAAGCCCCAGGCAAAAGGTTTTAACTGGATGTGCAACTTGTTGCTTATGCAGAAAGAGGCAGGTTCAAATTTATTTGCTGTCTTTTGATGGAGCAGAGATGTATGTTGTGGTACTCAAAAGTAGATTAATAAGATTTCATATAGCTTTCTTATTTTTCATATATAATGTGGATTAGTTCCATGTAAAATGCTTTTGAGGTAGCAAATGATAATGTGCAGAAGCTTACAGATGATTGGATTGTTGTTTTCATCATAAAAAATAAAATGTCTAAAGCTGTAGAAGGAATGAAAAAAGTGACATGGGAGGTTTGGTTTCTTTTTATGTATGTTTCTGATAAGAGCTGTGGTTGTTCATCACTTTTTATTATCAGCGTCTTAGCACCCTTTGAGGAGTGTGGCATCTCAGAGGTCAGGATGTATAGCCATCTGCTGCTGCAGTACAGACTTAGCGCTCGGAGTGCATCTATACATGCACAGCAGTTATTTCCTATTACATTTAATTTATTTGAAGTAACCTGTTGTAACAGCTGCATAATTCCACGCAGTTCATAGAGGTTTTGCAAATGGATTGTCTAGTGCACCTTCTGAGGATTCATGTTTTTCAATTTGGAAGAACTTTGGTTTGATATTATACTTGCATTCAGATATCACTTGCCTTTTTATTGCAGCTCTTGGATGTGACTTCTACTTTTTATTAAATTACAATATGCATACTATTCAAGAATTCAATTTCAGTATTGGGGGTTGATTGTTGTGCAGCTCATAATTATTTGCTTAGAATAGACCTTAGGTTGTCATTATACTTGCAAGAGGAAGTTGAATTCTGAAGTCTCTGTAAAGATTGGTAGAGAGGTGGTGTTGGGTCTTGCCTCAGTTGAGAAGATACTCATGCCATTTTAGAATATATTTTATAAATTCATGCTAGGTACTGAGCAGGGATTATCAACTTCTTATGAGTGGTTAAACAGCTAGAGACACTGTCAAATTTTATGTGAGGATTTCAGTAGATTTATTTA